AAAAATGTAAGGAGTAGAAAGGACAGATATTTGTGTAAAAATGTAAGGAGTAGAAGTAAAAAGTCGCCATAAAAATAAGTAGTAAAGTAAAGTAAAAATATCAGAAAAATCTACTTGAGTACAGTAACAAAGTATTTGTACTTCGTTACTTCCCATCTCTGTTCCTATGTGAAAACTATTCACAGTCAGATATGTTTTAATGTACAAATTAAGCCATTCTAAAAGACGTGTTTACAAAGTTCTTAATCATTTATGGTGTGAAATGGTAAATCAATGGGAAAAAACGAATTCAGAGGAAATTTCTCAATAAATCAAAAGTTACATCCATAACAATAATATGCCGATATGGCTGCATATTTGAAATGTTTATTGATTTAGTTTTGAATAATATGCCAAGTGTTTTCGTGATATTTTCTTTCTTTTCACCTTTCTTTTCAGATTGTCATTAACGTCCTTTTTTTCCAGCTCAACAGCCCCTCATAAAGTATAATGTCTGATTCCACGAGTTAATAATCCACTACCTTTGTCTGCTTCAAAGTTGATGGATGTGCCAAAGGTAGTGGATTATTAACTAGCTAGCTTACAGAGAGTAGAAGGGGTAAAAAAAAAAACCTGGACTGTTCAGAATCAATCATTTTTGCCTCCAAAATCCACAGATCACAATCCCATCAAGCATCTGTTGAATTTTCTTGAATAACTATTAAATCTGCATCGACCACATCTCAGAGAACAACCTGCTGCCCCAAAGCAAAGAGCTGACATGGGGATTACAATAGGGGAAAAATATACCTTTTGGTATGGGGCTATAATGGTATGTGTTTGAAAAATGTAAACGTTATCATTTTATTTGTATTAAGTCCGATAATAAAGGCAAGGGACAGAGACAGTTGACCAAAGACATTCAGGGAGTCTTATTCTCCTCCGGGATCCACTCTCCTCTTCTGCAGAAAAGTCAATTACGTTATGTCTTTTGTTGGTTTATTTCTAGGACAATAAGGGGTTAATATCATTAACCCTAACAGTATGCCTGATTAAAGTATATAAACTCCAGCCATGCAAAGCAAATTTTCAGTTTATATATCTTTAATTACTCAATTTATTGATTATTATAGCACCAATTCAAAACTCAAGGCACTTTACAGAAACAATTCAAACAGACCATTTTGTCAGATTTGTTTAAAGTTTTTTACTACCACTATCTATCTACTCATAAGCTGGATTAAGAAAATAACTCTACTATTTATGAGCATAAAATCAATCACAAAACTTAGAAGAAGTGAAAAGAAAGTTTAAATGCAAATCTAAATGATTTATGATTTTATATTTCAGTTGAGGGTAAACAGTGTGTCAGTACGTTTGCAGTTTTCTGGGAGTTGAAATGAAAAAGTTACTCATATTAGTTAGTATATTTAAACATATATTAAAAACAAGCTATCATAAATGAATCTGCGATCATAAATCAGATCTCAGTGTCTATCTCTTTCTGGAAAACTCCTCCATCAGGTTGCTCGTTCCACTTCAGGGTCGCCCCACCCATTCCACTGTCCTGTAGTCTGTCTTGGAGCTGGGGAACACACACAGAACAGAAGCCATTAGAAAAAATGTTTCTTTGAAATACAAAGATTTTTATTCTAATGAAATGTGCAGTGCCTTGAACAGGTTATTATAACTTTTTCAGTTTTCACATTTGTAGTTAAATTCTTAATTGTATTTTATTGGGATGTGATCCTATGGACCAGGGGTGGGCAACCCAAACTGTTCAAAGAGCCACATTGAACCCAAAAATAGATCTGTCTGGAGCTGCAAAAATGTTAAGGTCTTATATAAGCCTCCTAAGGGCACTAAATGTATATTAGCCCACTATCAAAATGACTAAGTAGGCTTATATCCATAATAAGCACTTATAGATAAATGCACATTTTTCCTGCAGCTCATCTTGGAGAAAAATGACACCATGTGACTAATCTGCTGTGCAATATTTGATATTTCCCATTACAGTATTTGTGTTGCCTTTCAAGAATGAATCTGAATAGACTTTTGTTTTGAAGGAGCTCTTATTTTGAAGGGCCATTTTAACTCTAACATTCCACATCTCAGGTTTATTTTCAGTTAATACGGCAGTTGGAGGTTAGCGGAATTCACATTTTGCCACATTTCTGTGTTCAACTACCTGAATTTATCACTGTTGATGTCACAGAGGCAACATTGTAAGTTGATCATTTCATGATTACATTTATAAGTTGATGTTAAAAAGTAGTATTTACATGGAAATGCGTTTGATTTATTTGTGGCTAAATTTACATTTAACGGTCATTTTTGTATTTTTCTCGTTACAGTTTTCACTCTTACCTTGTACTTCCAAGAAAAGAGCCACAGTAAAGAGCAACTACAACTCCCGTTTTCGTTTATCAAGGAAGAATTTAGCTAGTTTTATAGCGGCAGTTGCTACACTGCAGTCAGGATAACACAGAATTAATTTATTATGTTTTCTTGACATGATCGTAGCCCCGTAGCTGATCTAATTACTCACTTGATTCACCCGCCGTTCCCTCTCTGTTCTCTATTTACCATTAAACTTATTCACCTGCTCCCTCTGCTATATATACGGGTTCAGTCAAGCTATTGGGGCCAGATCATTATTTGTCTATTTTTTACTTTATTCGGGTATTCTTAGTTTGTTCATGTCATGTTTTGTCAGTTATTCCTCTTTGTTTCATCAGAGTTAAGTTCCTAGTTCATCTCTTGCCTCTTGGAGGCCTGTGGATTGACAGGGTTTGGTGTTTGTCTCTCTGTCTTTAGCGTGTCCCAGCTCTTATCCGCTGAGCCTTCAGGGTTTTCACTCGGCATGCCGGGGAAGCCCGGGTTCTGGTACTTCTCCGCGGAGAGGTCAGGGTTTTGGCTCAGAATGCGGGGAAGGTGAGTTTTACTTCCTGTAAGCCTGGCTCCAAGGAGACCAGTTTAAAGTTCAGCATTTATCCTGGAACCGTGCCTTGTCTATGTTCCTCTCTACGACTAAGCCTGCCTGTCTCCATCTGAGCGTATCTGTCTGAGCTCACTGCTGGACTCATAGCACACTGAACCTGCCTTCATGCTCTGAGGATTCCTGGAACCCTGGATCTGTCTGTTCCTGTTTGGATCGGAACCCCTGGTCGGGCTACAGACTCCTCGAACTCAGAACTCCCCGGTTCTGAACTGTTTCTCTGACCTGAATTGGTCTCCTGCCTGCTCACTGGGGTTGCTGCATTTGGGACACTTTGGACTCTCTGAGCCACATCTCTTTTTGCAGTCGATGGTCTGGATCTTTCCTTCTTCGGAGAGGATGGACTGAACTGTTAAACCAGGTAAGTAACTCACTCGGATAATTATCTTCTGTCAGATGACCGTGATCACTCCAGAGTGTCAGCGATCAGGCGGTGCCCGGCCTCCCATGTTTCTATTCTGTCTTATTATTTCTTTGTCATTAAACGTTTTGAATCTTCCCATTGTCCCATATATGACTTTTCTTGCATAAGTGGAAATATAGAAATTCAATAAAGGAATCAGATTTTTG